TTGAGCTGGATTTCACGGAAGAATGGCTTGCGTGACTGCTTCCTTCACAGCATTGGATTCCGTGCGTGCTTGTTTGCCGGTTATTGTTCCATCGTCTCTGCTGAGGTTGAGCCAGGGAGCCAGCAGCAGCAGCGGTAGATTGTGTCACCGGCAATGCGCGAGGAAGCATTGCTTGGTGTCAGGTTTCTCTGGGACGAGATTGGATGGGACTAGGCTCAAGCGCATTGTAAGTTTCACGATACCTTTCCTTCCCTTGTTATTTCTATGACTCACCATGGTTTTTTTTCCTTGAACCAGAGGAGTTCATCCAAAGTTTTTGTTGTAGAGGCTCGTAAGAAGAACATTATCGAAGTGGAGCAGGACCAAAGCGAAGGCTCAGATGACGAGCGGGAAAAGAAAGGATTAGACATTCTCGAGGCTTCAGACACGAGCGTTTGGCTAGAAGATCTCTACCAGGTTTGCGGTGTTCTTATTTCTTCTTTGTTTCACGAAAGTTTACGAGCATCTTTTTAACAGCTCGATGACGGCGAAGACGACATCGAAGAGAATCTCTGTCTGGATGGCGTTGTAAAGGTGCTGGCATTTTATTCTTTCATTCGTCTCCAAGCCATCCCAGCGGATAACAATTGAGCATGCAGTCTTCCTCTTACGCAGGTGTACTGCACTCACTCTGAGCCAGATTATTCTCTTCCTTGGCAAAAGCAACGGCAGTTCATGAGCACTGGCAGGTACTCCGAAAACCTTGGAAAGGAAAGCTTAACTTTGATAGTTTGCTTCTTGCAGCGGTTTCGTCATATCGGGCCGAAGGTTGCTGACAAATGCACACTGTGTCGAGCACCACACACAAGTACGCCTTGCTAATTGATTGTTTTCTCTTCTCACTGAAAATTTACAGGTGCAAGTAAAAAAGCGTGGAGACGATACCAAGTTTGTTGCCAGGGTGAGTGCGTATCTCAGATTTTCTTAAAACGACTGGGATCATTTGCCATCAGGTTCTTGCTGAGGGCCCTGATTGCGACTTGGCGCTCCTTACGGTTGACAGCGAAGAGTTTTGGGAAGCTGTGGAGCCTTTAAAGTTTGGAAGCTTGCCTAGGCTACAGGTTTCAAATGTTCCTTTGAAAGTTTAGTCCATCTCCTGACTACTGTTATATTAGGATCCTGTGATTGTTGTGGGCTACCCAATGGGTGGTGAAACCATATCAGTGACCAGTGGTGTGGTTTCCCGTATAGAAGTAAGAAGGTTTGGTAGTTATATCGAAAGCTAAAATGCCTGGCTTTTCAGGTAACGTCGTATGTACATGGAGCATCTGAGCTACTTGGGGTCCAGATCGACGCAGCCATCAATGCTGGTAACTTTGAGGTTGTAAGTAAGGGTTCCAAAGTTTATATTGTTTTCCAGGAAACAGCGGTGGTCCTGCCTTCAACGAAGAGGGTGAATGCGTGGGAATCGCCTTTCAGGTTTCTCTTTCTGTTTTATGTGGAGTGGCAATCAACCGTAGTTCGTTTTACTTTTCAGTCATTGAAGGATATGGATGTAGAAAACATTGGTTTTGTGATTCCCACAGCTGTAATATTTCATTTTTTGAAGGACTTCGAACAAAACGGAAGATACACTGGCAAGTATACATAATTTTCAAAGTATTTTTCTAAACTTTCTTTCGGTGCAATCAGGCTTTCCATCATTAGCCGTTTGGTGGCAAAAGCTGGAAAACTCAGCAATGCGAGCCTCGTTAAAGATGAAAAGTGGGCAGAAGGTATATGTGATGACCGTATATATGCATCTGAACTTTGTTTCAGGGTGTGCTTATTCGAAGAGTTGAGCCACTTGCCCCCGTTGCCAGCGCCGTGAAGGCTGTAAGTGATGTGTAATTTGTAATGGACTCTGACCTTTTCTCTTTGACAGGGCGATGTTTTGTTAAGTTTTGATGGTGTACCTATAGCTAACGAAGGAACAGTTTCTTTCCGGACAGGGGAACGAATCGATTTTGAGTTTCTTGTCACTCAAAAGTATGTCTGTAGGTTTTCCCTTGCTGCTCGTTTTTTACAAGGTTTTGCTAGCAGATTCTCAGGCGAAACAGCAGAATTAGAGCTTCTTCGTGATGGGAAGGAACTGAAAGTCCAAACAGTTTTTAAACCTCCTGTTCGGCTGGTGAGCACTTTAAATCTCTCAACACCTTTCAGTACCCTTCACTCGTCCTGTGCAGGTTCCTGTTCACCTAGCATCTAAAATGCCTTCGTATTTCATTGTTGCGGGCCTCGTCTTCGTCCCACTGTGCTTTCCTTACCTCGAGTAAGCTTACAAATTTGGTCGGCATAAGCAGCTGCTTAAAAAATAAAAACTTCTGTTGTTTCCAGGTCAGAGTGCGACCTCGGTGAAGCGGAAGTATCAGTAAGTAATGTATAGCATTGCCGAGTTACTCGTAACGATGTGCTTTCAAACAGGGAAAGCTGAGAGAAATCGCGAGGAATGGCATGGTGGAGTTTGAAGACCAGCAAGTCATAGTTATGTCACAGGTAAACACTACATTTTTTTGTTTTTAACTACAAACGTGAAAACATTTTATCTAGGTACTGGCGCATCCTGTCAACGCAGGCTATGAAAATCTCCAGAACGTGGAGGTAGGCGTTGGCTCGTTGGTGTTGTCCTCGTTTGGACAAAACTAAGAACCTTGAATCTTAGGTGCTGACTTTCAACGGGGAGAAAATTCGCAATTTGAGGCAGTTCTCTAGATTGGTCGACTGTAAGTTCCTCGTGGTTTCTACCTTTGATCACTGAAACTTATTGGTAAACCACAGCCTGCACAGAGGAATTCATGCGTTTCGAGCTGGAAAGACACATCTTGGTGGTGCTGGAAACCAAGTCGGCTCGGTTAGCGAACGAGCAAATCCTGAGAGACTTTCACGTACCATCGGAGAGGTCTTTGGATCTCGTGGAAGGTCACACCCCAGTGACATCGCACGAGATAAATGGCCGAGATGCGTTACCAGGCAGCATACAGCCAGCAGCAGCAGCTTAAAAAAAAGGAAAGAAGGAAAACTTCTCATCACATTCAAACTGTAAAGCTCAGAAATTATAATCACTTATTCTTTCGCCAGCAAAATTCTTTATATATGACTAGATTGACTAAAGCTGAATTATAGTTACGTATTCACATATGACGATCAAAACCATGGTTCCCTGCTTAATGTTAAATGATTTGACCTGTGACAAGCATACTATTGAGGCTAATTTTCTTGGACATCAAGCTCGAAGTAAAAGTTCGTATTGTTTTTTTGGTCCGTCTCACAAAAGCTCCATGAAGCTTCTGTGATGAAGCTCGCTGGCTCAAACTCTGGCAAATGGAGCTCGACGCTATACAGACCACTCTTGACCAATGTCATTGAGAAAACCATGAGGATGGTACGAATTTTATGTAAAATTATAATTTTTAAATAAACCTGAACTTATTACATTTAAAAACAAAAAAAGAAAACTAAAGAATCTATGCATATACCAATCCCTTTTTAGTTCAATAAATATTAATTATAATCTAATCACATGGGTTTGTATTTGAAGCCCACAACACTCTTAATATAGGATGCTTAGAAAATATTTTTTGATGAGATTCATATAATAATAAATTGCAATCATTTTGAAGTGAAAGAAATGTTTTAATTTTACAATACTTTGTCTTACAATAAATATTTGGGGACCATATTACATCTTTATTTTCAGAATATAAAACTATATTTCCATCCATTTGTATTTTAAATTCGCAATTTTGAAAGTATTTAGATCCTTTATACCATCTTATAGAATTTTTAATATATAAAATTAAAACACAATTATAATGTAAATATAAATGGGCTTTACTATTTGGAGATATTAAAAATTCAGATGCTTTTAAAACATTAAAAGGCATATTGCTAATTAGTGTTGTTAAATAAATCCTACAATCATGTAAGTTATCTAAATTATACTTATCTATACTTTCAGATCCATGATTATGAAATAATTTTGCAAAAAACTCAATACAATAATAACCAGCTATTATTCTGAAAAATAATGGACGCAAAACTTGAATACGCAAACGATAACTTTCTAATAAGTTAGTAAACTCTATTCTCATATTATCACCATTATCTTGTTCATATTCATCAAGTTTTGCACTACAAGTTAAATCAATCATTTTTCTATCAGTGCTATAAATCCAAAGTTGATTAACACATTCCATAGGTCCTTGTATATCATCTTCAAGTGTAAATTCAAGTTCCATACTTTGACCTTTTGGTATATCTACAGAAGGAATTTTATTTATCATTGCTTTCATACTATTTAAAATTAGTATAACACTTTTTTCTGTTATATTATATCTACCACTATAAGTAATTTTCATTGAAAGAGATTTCACATGTAAATAAATTAAAATATAAAATTTTATGATTGAAAATACTTTCATCTTAAAATAGATATATAAACTTGTTCGTAAATAAATACTTAAAAATTTATATATTAAATCCTGTATAAATTTTTAAAATATATTTCTAAGGTTTATAATTATAGAAAATACTCACATATGATCAATGATCTTGAAAACAATAAATAATATTTAAAAGTACTCTAGCTTTTAGCTTTTTAGTAAAAATTTATATTTCTTATGTAATTTTATACTTTAAACAATATTTCTTTCTGAAAAGCTACCTAGTTACAGAAATATAATTAAATGTTTAATAATTTCAAAGATACATATCAATAGAGCATATTTTAAGTATCTACTAAATATGAGATTAATTTAGTGAGTAAATGATAGAAAAATATATGCAAAACTTGGATCTTTTATAATATCTTGAATCATTTTTACAATGATATATTAAAGCATTAAAGTCTCTAAACATCATAAATTTTATTATTATTAATTAGAAAAAATTCTAAATCCTATTCATTAATTCTAAAGAAATAAAATGTCAACAAGATAGAACTCTGGAAATGTATGTGAAGAATAAGAGCTGTACTAAGTACAAAACCAAGCCTCTAGCAACACTCCATGTTGTGATTGTTCTTACATTCTTAGCAAATGCTTAGCAACTGTAGCATGGAAAAGCATTCTTAGAATGGAAACCAACTCTAAATCCTGTGACGAACAAAACCGGAGAGGTCTTCGGCGCTCCTGGAATACCCCCGTGACCAGGTACAGGCAATCACCACATTCGAACTGTAAAGGAAAGATATAATCACTTATTCTTTCGTCAGAAAAACTCTTTATATATGAGTAGAAGTATTGATCGGGAAGTCGCTCGCGTTCAGGCAGATGCCTGGAGTCCGATCACTCCTGTGGGAGTTGAAAGAAGTTTAAGCGAGATACTCTATCAAAGTATACAAAAGCTTACCGCAAGCAAGACGTCCACCAGCGTTTCCCGTCGACTTGCTCAGCTCGTGTCCACCTGAAAACTCCGAGAAGGTAACAATCAAGACCAACAGTGGAAAACCAAAATGAAAGAACCTTTGCCAAGATCATCACGATCCGCATGAACGACGACGGCTCGGCCCACAATCGAGTTTGCCCCAGCTAGAGGAATCTAAAACACGAGAACGAAAAGAAAAAGGAGGAGAAGTTCGTGAAGGAAAAATGAAAAGCATAAGGTACCTGCTTGTCCTTGATGACGAACTCCGCAACTCCTGAAAAGAAGCAAATCAGAATCAAAGCTCTCTACAGTGGACGAAACTTACCATCGGGGCCTGCGGTCACATTCCCTAGATCGCCAGCGTGCCGGATTTTATCGCTTGGATCCCCATGCTCCAGATTATTTGGGTTGAAATGAGCGCCTAGACAAGAAATCACAAGCTTTTTCAGCTCAAAGCTCAAATCTTTCCCCAGCTATCGACCCCTACCTGTGGACAAACATCCGTTCGTGGTATCGCCCAATGCGTGGACGTGGAAGCCGTGCTCGCCCGCAACCAAGCCCGTGATCTTTCCAGACACCGTAGTACCTGCAAAACTCGCAGATCAATAGGGCTTTTCCGCCGAAATTGCTCTCACCTTCGCCGTCCTCGACGAAGCTCACGACTCCAGATACGCCAGTCCCGGCAAGAACAGCCACCGCTTTGAGAGGCGCCATAGCTAGCTCCAAATCCAAGCTCGATAGAACGAAAGAATGGAAATGAGGAAGCCTAGTCGTCTAGAACATTCCGATCCGGCCGTCCATTTAAACCGTTTATTCAACGGCCTGGATTGATCCGCGCTTAATGTGAAATGAGCGGGAGAGATGCGTTCAAGTGGACGGCTGCGATGCTAGGGCTCCTGGCTATCGCGAAGAATGCTTGGCGCAGCGGGGGGATGCCTCGCCACAGCACAATGGTGGCCTCCTCCAGCGGGGAAACTGTCAAATTATTGCGCAGCCCAGGCCACTGGAGCTGCTGATTCTCGTGTAAGTTCCTTGCGACCGATCTAACGCCTCATATCTACTCTCAGATTTCGCAGAGCAGGACGCAGCAGCTACTGCGATTAAGATCCGTGTCGACAATCTACGCAGGCTGGCGTCGAATGGCGCGACGCTACTGTCTGGGATCAATCTGGAAATCAAAGCTGGAACAATTCATGGCCTCATTGGCCCTTCTGGAAGTGGCAAATCGACAGTGTTGCGAGCATTGAATCGGCTATGGGAGCCTCCTGCTCGAGCGATTTTCTTGGATGGAGCGGACATCACACAGCTCGAAGTTATAGGACTGAGACGTCGAGTTGGAATGGTGTTCCAGGCTGCGTGCTTGTTCCCTGGTAAGATCGTCACTTTTCTCTTCTTCTCTCCAATCATTCCTTTTATCTTTCTTCTTTTTGGTTTCGTAGGAAGCGTCGCTGACAATGTGAGATATGGCCCGCTTCTTCGAGGAGTCCATCTCTCTGACGAAAGAATCGAGGAGCTTCTCGTGCGAGCGGGCATCGCTGATCCAAGCAAAAGGTTTGCATCAAAGTCCGAGAAGGAGCTCTCTGGTGGCGAGGCTCAGCGTGTCTCGCTAGCTCGGACTCTGGCAAACGAGCCCGAGGTTCTACTGCTAGACGAGCCAACCAGTGCTTTAGATCCACTCTCGACCAATCTCGTGGAGAAAACCGTGATGGAGCTCCGGAGGGATGGTATGACCGTGGTTTTAGTCTCTCACAACATGCAGCAGATAGAGCGCATTGTTGACGTTGCCACTTTTCTCTGTGATGGATCTGTGGTGGACACGGGAACTCTGGAGCAACTTAAGCAGCTCCGTGTTCCAGTGCTCCAGCAGTTTTTCTCGATCAGTTCAATCTAGTAGTTTCTTTATTGCCTTACATAGAAAAAAAAGTTTACATGTCATTTATTAACATGGGCTTGTATTTGAAGCCCATAATGCTCTTGATATAGGATGTTTTAAAAATGTTTTTTGATGGGATTCATATAATACTAAATTGCAATCATTTTGAAGTGAAAGAAATGTTTTAAGTTCACAGCCTTTAGTTTTGCAATAAATATTTGGGGACCATATTATATCTTTATTTTCAGAATATAACACAATATTTCCATCCATCTGTATTTTAAATTCACATTTTTTAAAATGATCTGATCCTTTATACCATCTTATAGAAGTCTTAATATATAACACCAACATGCAGTTAAGATGTAAATATAAATGGGCTTTTCTATTTGGAGATATTAAAAACTGATAGGCCTTCAATGAATTAAATGGCATATTACTAATTAATATAGTTTGATAAATTTCACAATCATATAAACTATTTAGAGTGTAGCTGTTAATACTACGAGTTCCTCTACTATACATATATTTTTCTATGAACTCAATAGCATATAAACCAGATAATAATCTAAAGTATAATGGACGTAAATTTTGAATATTAGTACGATATGTTTGTAATAAATTATTAAATTGTAGCCTTGTATTATTTCCATGGTCTTGTTCATATTCATTAAGATTTGTACTGCAAGTTGTATCAATCATTTTTCCATTAGAACTATAAATCCATAATTGATTTATACATGTTATATTTCCCTGTATATTATCGTGAATTGTATATTCGAATTGCATACTTTGACCTTTTGGTATTTCTTCAGAAGAAATACTATTAATCATTAAATCCATAGCTTCTAAAACTAATTTAGCACTCTCATTTGTCATTTTATATTTACCAGCATAGCTAAATTTCATAGAAATAGACATTTTAAATAAATAAAAACATAAAAAATAATAATATAATTTTAACATTTCTTATATTCTGAATTTAGAGAAATATTTTTAACTGTTATATACAGAAAAATATTTTTTCTTTAATAAAGTTATGTTTCTCTTTTACATTCTACTTTTTATAATAACTTTTTCCTAGTTTAAGAACTTGTTTTTATTAACTATCTACAACAATGCTATTATAGTTTTGAAATTTATTCTATAATTATTTCTTATAATACATGGGAACCATTATTTACATATATTATTAAGCTTATATATACATGAATTAAATGGCATCTATAATATTTAAAAGCATTTGTTAGGTCTAGGTGTATAGCTCCAATGCTATATACCATTATTAATATGTAGGGATTTTGGTAACTATTGAATTGATTTCAATTTAGACCACTTGCTTTTGTATATAAGTTAGGGTTTTAGGGCTTATAAAATATACACATTTTTATATTATAAGCACTTGCATTGGTAGAGATGAGGAGCAATTCTAGTTGTATTTGAAAAGTGCTTAGATTTATATTTTTTGTTTAGACCTAACTTTTGCTCTTTCTTTTCATTCATCTTCATGGTAAAGTAGTATGCTCCTTTGCAAAAACTTCCTCTTTTAACTTGGAGTAGCAATTGGTGCAATTGCTTGATATTATGTGATTGTAGTTGAACAATTAAACACAATTGATAGTGGTGTTGATGATATATAGTGCAACTTTTTCTGCTTTTACTATTAATCCTTTCATCTTATTAAATTTATTCCATAAGAATTTTGGGGATGAAGTGTACCATTATGTCGTAAATGTGACTATATGTATTGAAAATTACTTATCAACTAATCCTTTCATTACTACCATGACGGCAGGATGTCAATATTGCTAAACTCATTTTTAGTCTCTACCTAAGGTAGTTGAGAAATTGGCCTTTGCATGTGCATTTGGCCAAAAAAGCATAAAGACAAAATTCTTATATGCTATTAGTCAAGTATACTTGATATAGTTAGAGAAACTCATTCATTAACTTGCACTTGTTAATGTTGGGAACTCTTACAATATTGAGTTTGGTCCCTCAATATTTGCTAAATGATAGATTACTATGTCCGCCAAGACACTCTTGCTATCATGCCCCATGTATTAGTCCTATTCAGTCCTAATGGCTATTTATAGAAAGTGTCAATTTATGAGTTAGGCATATCTATGGAATGTAGAGCTTGTCTTGAATATGATGGTGTTATTCCTACATCCAAATTTATAATTTAATATTATTCCATATTTAGTAAGTTTTCATGATTGTCCTAGAGACTAACTTCTAGAATTGGGGTGAAAGTTCAAAGCATGTGTTCCTTAAAGGGAGGGGTTCCAAATGTAATTCTTCTAGTAATTCTAGTAATTACACCCCCTTGAGGAATACATACTTTGGGTATGCCTTATAGCACAAATTACTAATTCTATATTTAGTATGTTTCAAGCTTGTCCTAAAGACTAACCTCTTGTATTAAGGGTAAAAGCCCAAAGTATGCATTCTTTAGGAGGGGTGTGAAAGTTCAAAATATATAGTAAGGATAGTGGGTAGATTAGGCATGGCTAACCAACTTAAGGCAATGCTATAACTCTTGCTTGCATGCTTGTTTTTGTTTTACATTTGACTTGGGTCTAAACCCAAGTTTTATACCATGCTAACTGGTGGAATACCTATATTTTTATGCATATTGAAATAGTGCCAAACTCCATTTAGCTCTGTTTTACGTGTTGGACTTAGCATACTATATGCTTCAATGCTTTTGCTCTTTAGCTCCATATTTAAGAGTTTGCCTCTATCCCTTCATTCAGTGGCCCAAGGCTCTAAAACTTTAGTTCTACTCTATTATCTTTGGATATATGGCATATGACATATGGCACATAGAGGGTTTAAATTCCATTTCATAGTTATCCTATGGCAAATCACTATAGGAAAAAGGGTGAAAACCATATATGTTACACATTGGTCACTTTATGGTGATTATTATCTATCATTCTTGGGATGATATTTGGCATTTAAACAAGTTTCCCACATGTCTTCAAGGGATAGTTTTTCAATAGTATAATGGTTTGAATGTAGCCGCTTATGTAGAATTAAAGCTTTATCTTAGATGTGCCTTCTAGTAATTACATCATCTTTGTCAAGGTTCATTTGAGTTAGTTATGCAATTTGGTATTCACTTTCTAAACTTTTTGCTTTGTATATGTAGCACACGTAGTTTTCACCCTTCATCCTATGATAATTTACCATAGGAACGAAGCTAAACTCCTAAGTATGGAACTAAGGAGCAATGGAATTGGAGCACAGTGCAACTCTCGAGCATATAGCCCAAAGAACAAAGAGACAGAAACACAAAGCAACTTTAAATAGTCCTAGAGCATCCAGCATCCTAATGCTAGAACCAGCATGCAAAATGGAGCCAAATGAAGTCTAGTGCTATTTCAACATACTGATATCCTAACATGAGGACATGGGTACTCCACCAACTAGTATGGTGTGGAACTTGGGCTTAGACACAAGCCGGACGTAGAACAAGGACAAACATGCAAGCAAGAGTTAAACTATGCCTTAGGTTAGTCAGCCATGCCCAACTTACCCACTATCCCTACTATATATTTGAAACACCCCCCTAGAGGAACACACGCTTTGGGCTTTCACCCCAAGCCACCCTTAGTACTAGGAATTAGTCTTTAGGATAAGCTTGAAATTTACTAAATATGGAATGTCTCTAGATTGTGAATTTGGACATGGATAAACATCATTGTGTTCAGGACAATCTTTATGTTCTATAGATATGCCAAATGAGCAAATTTAGACACTTTTCATAAATAGCATTTGGGACTAGAATGAGACTAACATAAAAGGCATGATAGTGAGAGTGTTTGGCAAACACAATAAGCTATCATCCAGCGATATTGAGGGATTAATCTCAATACGCGAGGGTTCTTGTCAAGCCAGTGCAAGATAAAGTAAAAGAAAACTTAGGAATTAACCTAAGTGATATTATCTTTGTCAAGGGTCATTTGAGTTAATTATACACTTAAGAATTTTATCCTTATGTTCATCCGGCCAAATACAGATGCAAAGTTCAATTTACTAACACTTGAATAAGAGGGACTAATAAAGGGTCTAGCAATACTAACTTTCTACCATTGTGGTAGTAAGGAAAAAATATCTGAAAGGACTAGTTGACAAATAACTTTCAATATCTGAAGTCATATTTGCGACAGTGTAAAGTGAAATATATCGGAGCAAATTTTAATACTACTACTGCCCATGTTCAAAGATAAGGATGAGGACATAGTTATGGCCATGATATTTACTGGGCATATAATGAAGCTAATCATACATCATTTGTATCAATATTTCCTTAATTGGCATCCTTCATTTCCTAGGTGGAAGCCTTAGCATCAACATCATGTAATGTAAAAAGTCTTGACATAGAGATCTTTAAAAAAAAATAACCATGAGAGTAATAGAGATTCTTGCTTGAATAAGTTAATAACCCTTCATCTTTTTTTTGGAAGTATTAATAAAAAGTTCACTTAGCACTAATTTATTTAGTATTCACTTTTTAAGCTCATTTTTATAACAATATCTTCTTTATATTGGTTGATATAGGTTTGAGTTCATCTTTTATTGTTTGGTTTGTTGCCATATGTTATCATTTACATTTGCATCATACAATAGAGTCAGTCTTCATTCTCTATGGCAATGAAAGTATACATGCATATACATAGGATTGATTTGCTATGGAAGGAATATACTAATTTCTTTGATTTTGATTTATCTTCTAAGACCAAGATTACAACTCATCATCCTATTCCAACTGGAGATGTTTGTTTAATCACAGTTCCTCTTTAGTGTTGATTATTACAGGAGATCAAAATTCAATAAGCGAATATCAAGAAGATATTGGAGAAAAGTGTCATCTAAAAGTTTTGGAAAGCATATAAACTTTGTCTTATGATGAAGTTTGATGAAAATATTCAATTTTGCATTAACTATTAATTGTTAAATAATTTGATTATCCCAGATATATACCCTTTTTGGCACACTAGCAATCTCTTGAATCATTTGGGGCAA